GAGAGAGAGAGAGAGAGAGAGAGAGAGAGAGAGACAGAGAGACAGAGAGGGGGGCAGTGAGGGAGCACACATCACCTAAATCACCTAATAAGCTGGGCATGACAGCTTCACCCTATTTGCATGGTGGAGTTGGACTTGTTTGCTCCCCCCAGCTCAACACTTTGAGATGCCTCTGCTGGAAGGAAGTAGAGATTCATGGCCACCAGAGACTTTCCAGTGATGGCAGGAGCTATGTTGGATCAGATATCTCAAGTTGTGGTTGTGGTATCTTTGTTTTTCAGTGTGGAAGAGAGGTAGATGTTGGAACTCTACACAATCACAAGGGTTCTGTGTGGACAATTTTAGAATCAATGGTAGGAACAGCTGATCCTTAGTCTGCTTATAGTATCTTTATGTGTCTGTAGTTCTAGGCAACATCAGGGTTAGAATGATGTTTTGTGGAAAAAATGCAGTAACTTGTAAGTTTAATTGAATATGTGTGGATGGTTTCCAAATTTATTTATTTTTCACACTTCATAGTATAAAATTATATTTATGATAGGCAAATAGTATTTGGCATATATACACAACAGTTGAATCCAGCTCACCATCCAGTACATTGCCATGCCTGATTATCATTTCTGTGTGTGTAGTTTAACATTTCCCAAACTATCTTTATTTACATTCTGATTTGTCTTTATTCTAATTGGGAAATTGTCTTTGTTTATGGTATGGAACATAATGTTTGATGTCTTTGTTTTGATATATTTATACTGTATGATCTGGGATGATTGACTGAAGCTAATTAATATTTCATACTACGTGTATTTGTAACTTTTTTTCTGGCAAAAACATTAGAGGTCTGCTTTCTTGGTGATTTGCAAGCACGGTATCTTATTAATTACAGACTGCACCCCAGACAACAGAAGGCTGAGACCTTTCCCACCCAGGATGGAAATGTGTGCCCTTTGGCTGGCACCCCACTTTCCTCTTCAAGCCTAGAAAACACTATTTATTACTTGTCTTTCTGTAACTCCCCTGCTTCATTAGAAGCAAATTCAGAGATCTCTCAGTTGTGCAGTCAGCCCTCAGGGTGTGTGTAATCAGCTCCATGGGAAATGTTCAAGAGGAAAGTTTACATGGTTAGGAAAAGTCTAATCAGTTGATGTGGGGTGCCCTTCTGTACGCTTCAGGTAGAAGACAATTTTATTGGTTGAGGAATAAACCCTTTTCAGCCAATGGACAGGCGGAATATAGCTAGGTAGGAATTCCAAACAAAGATACAGAGAGAAGGACGGTGGAGTCAAAGAGACCCCAGGCAGCCACCAGGGAAGCAGGATGTGAGGTAGCAAGCCTCCTGGTAAAATGTGTTAATTTACAGGTAGAGCCAGCCCATAAGAAGCCTGAACCATTGGCTAAACAATTATAATATTAATAGTAGCTTCTGATAATTATTTCATAAGAGGCAGTGGGGACCTGGAGAGTGGGAGAAAAACCTGTCCAATGGGACCAGGAGAGACAGAAAAAATAATCCAACTACAATTCCTGTCACCAGCATCAGCGATTTCATACTTCCTGTGTTTAAGCGCCAAGAAATAAATGGCAGAAATGTTCAATGAACGACACCCTGATTTAGAGTGATGTCAATGTTCTAACTGGCATGTGGAATATGTTCAATTTACTTACCTCAAGGTTTTCACTAAAATTAATTTTGTGGTACACATTGGGCTGGTCACCACATAAAAATAACCCATCTCTGGTGGGAGATGCTGAGCTTCTTCTGGGAGTGCTGGCATGACAGCCACCCCAAAGACAGCAGCTGGCCTGGGGTTCACCAAGACCCTTCTAGGCACTGACCATGTTTCCCCTTCTAGAGCCAGCAGCGACTTCCCCAGGGAGGACAAACTCCACCCACAGCATCCCAAGGAGGTGCTGCAGGGGAGGAGGAGTGTTCTCTCCTAGATCTGGATGTAGGCTAGTGTATTTGTTATATTTCTTGGTGCTGATGAGAGAATTTAAGTTAGGAAGTGTTTATTTAGCTTACAGTTCAGGGAACAATTCCATCAGGGTGTGTGGTGGGGAGGCAAGAGAAAGGCAGGGCCGGGAGTGTGTTCCACCAGATCAAATCCTGTCACCATTCAAGAAGCAGAGAGAGCAGGAAGTGAGACCCAATTCCTCAAGTGAGGCTCTACCTCTTAAAGGTGCCACAACGTCCCCAAACAGTGCCATCATCTGGGTGCTGTTGTGGAATACTATTTTAAGATGTATTACATTGTTTACACTGTGGAACATTTGTTTAGTGATGCAAAGATGTGTTGCCTTCTTTCAGGCTGTGTTTGTTTAACTCTGTGAAGCTGTGTTACTTTGCCTCTCTATGATACCTGCTTGGTCTAATAATGAGCTGATTGGCCAATAGCAAGTAAGGAGAAAGGACAGGTAGGATTGGCAGGCAGAGAAAATAAATAGGAGGACAGAGATTGGGGGAGAGATCAAGTCACCTAGCTACACGGGTAGACATGGGATAAGAAGCAAAGTAAAGATGTACAGAAATAGAGAAAAGTAAAAACTCAAAGGGAAAAGGTAGACAGGATAATTTCAGAAAAGCTGGCTAGAAACAGGCCAAGTGAAGGCCAGGCATTCATAAGTAAGAATAAAACTCCATGTGTGATGTATTTGGGAGCTGGGTGGTGGGCCCCAAAAGAGCAAAGAGTAAAAACATAAAAGCCAGCAACAGGGTACCAAGTGTTCAAACTCATGAGCTGAAAGGGCACATTTAACATGCAAATCCCAGTCATTAGTATGCATATTCATCTGGATTTTGTTTGGTATTTTAGTGTGGAACATTTCACAAATTTGCATGTCTTCATTGCACAGGGCCCATGCTAATCTCATCTGTATCTTTCCAATCATTACTATATAAGCTTCTAAAGTGACCACTCATCTGGATTTTATGTAAGGACTTCTGCTCCCAGCACCATAAAGCTGGGAGCGAGCTGACCTTTTCGTCGGAACCAAATAGGCAGGCAGATGAAATAAATGAGGTGACTGTAGCCCTGCGATGAGGGTCGGATGGCAGAGCCACAGCTTCTGTTGTGGGCATTCTGGGTATCAGTGCAGGAGAGGAGACTAAGAGGGCTCTGTCACCTGCCGAGAGTGAGCCGGCAGGGGTGTGGGGAGGAGAAGCACCCAGAATCAATGAAGAAGAGAATCAGGTATAGAACGAGAACCACAGGGATGCACCAGGAGCCTACCGAGGCAGGATGCTGGGTTTGCATGTGGAGGAACAAAGGGAGAGCTGAGATGGGCAGACCTCACAGCTTATGGACAGTGGAACACTGCAAATTCCAGTATGTCCGAGGAGGAGGGCTTTGCTTCCTGTCAAGGGACACAATGAAGAGCTCCAAATGTCCAACTTTACACATGGGCTAAAGAGTGACGTGACCTGTGCCCCCGGCCCTGAAATCCTGACTAGGTGTGGCAAGGGAACAAAGACAGGACAGACACATGTGCAGAAACCCGAAGTTGGTGGGCTGTGGGCTGTATCAGAGTGCACGCACTATGCAGTAACGAAACCGTGCATTTATTTTGTGCAGCCCCGGAAAAGTGGCTAGCTAGTCTGTCTGGAGCAGCCTCAGGTTGCGGTTATGGGGAAGGAGGAAGCTGCAGTTGCTAGGCTTGGCATTCACTGGTCAATCACTTGTAAACACAACACATACACACTGCTGGCATTCATAGGAGGTCTTTGCTATCCCCCTGAGCTCTTTGGGTCTGGGGCATTGGCATCCCTGACCCAGACGTCTCTGTGTCAACGATACACTTCCAGTGCTCCACCTGCCTTTAACACTCACTCCTCATCTCCCCATAAACATGTATTTGAAAATAAATCTCAAAGACATCATTTGGCTCCAAATTACTAGATGAACATGTTTGGGTTATTTTGCTGTTGAGGTTGCTGTGAGAAAATGCTTCAGGAAGGAAGCTGATGATCTGAGGGTACAGCTCCACCGTGGAGGGAAGACACAGGGAAGCCGCAGGAACAGCGCCCACAGTGCTGGCAGGAGTGCTAGCCAATGGTCAGCTGTGACAAGGTTATCAACCAGACACTGGGGAATACTGGTGTCCATTGGACCTCCTTATTATTTTTCTGGGCCCCCCAAACACCATCAATTCACACATGGTAAATGAGTCCATTGTATACGCAGTCTGGGAATTATATCTCAATCAAGCTATGATAAACAGATATCCCCAAATGGGAAAAGACATGGAAAAATAATGAAAATGTAAGATACCATGAATATGCAAATTGAGACAAACACTGTAGAGCAGAAAATGTATCATGTGTCCTCTTACTTTCCTCATCACTGTGACCAAACACCTGGTAAAACAAATGAAAAGGGGGAAACTTTGGTTTTGGTTCACAGTTTCAGATGAAGGGTTAGCCTGACCCTTTGATGCTAGGCAGAACATTTTGGTGGAGGAAGGGCTTTTGGGGGAGTTTTTGCATCTCATGATGGACAGAGGCAGGGAAAAAAGGATCTGGAAAGGGGCCAGGCCAAGACATAGCATCTGAGGACATAATCCTGGTGACTAGTTCTTCCAGCTAGGCCCTACCTCACTGTCAAGTTTCTCCCACTAATGTTAGCACATCACGAATGATTGGGTCAGCACACACAGGGTCTCATCAATCCTCTTAACACCTCTACCCAGAAACACAACTTTAGTGTATGATTTACTCAACTCATGGTTAGTATTATCCACTCATTCCAGACCAAGAGCTGTGACACAATGCCAGCTCACAAATGGTGACCTCTGTGAGGAAGACTTATTGTATAAACTAAGAGAGGAACTAAAATTGTGCTTTGGGACAGGATTGAATGTATTCTACACAGAGTTCTATCTGATTGTGGTTGGTAACAATGTGTAGTGGATCACATTTTAAGTTGCACATAACATATACAAAGGAGTGTCACAGAGTTAAGATATAATGTTATATTGGGACTAGGGAGGGGGGAAATTGAATTCACCAATAGGTGAACAACTAAACAAATTGTAGAATGATATAGTCAGTGAAGGAATGCTACATATGCCTATGTAGAGATATCAAAATACTCCAAGTTTTGAATATAAAAATAAACATACAGAATAGCATATGGCTTACATTTTTAAAAAGATCATATGCTTTTTATTTATGTGTATGTATAAATTTTTGTTATACTAGAAAATATACATGAAATTCCTGGCAAAATCTACCTTTGTAGAGGGAAGGATAAAGTTTAGATCAGGGAAAATAAGCAGAAGGATTTTCAGTTTTAAGCAGAATGACTTATTGACCTTCCTTGTAAAAATATCTGAATCAAGTATGCTAAAATATTAATAACTTCAATGCTGAGTGCCAGATAGTTTCATGGTTATTTGACTTATCATTTATACTTGTCTATATTTTTACATTTCTCAGGAAAATCAACACAGTAAGGTGACTGTCCTTTTAGTCAACTATGGCTATATGTTACCTAGATATCTGCTCCAGTAATACTGAGAAACAGGAAGTGTGAAACTCTGCCATCTGCTAGAGAAATCCTGAGGTTCACAGTTAGTTTAGAAGCATCAGAGACTGGTGTTCCAATGACAAGCCAGGAAAATAGTGATGACATTCACACAACTTTCTAAAGCAATCATTTCTGGAAATGAAACTCAAATTTCATCACAGAGGACTATGTAGAGCTTCGAAAATCAACGGCATATATCAAGACCATTTTATAAACAACATTTTCATATCTCCTCCAGTAAGGCCACGCCTCTTAATAGTGCCATTCCCAATGAGCTTATGGTGGCCAATTACGTTTAAACTCTCATGCTAGTATCATCATCAACCCATTTATTTAGTTCATTGCATTAGTCATCTTGTTACTACAACAAAATAATTAGGCACTTAAATTGTAAAGGTAATTGATTATTTTTTAGTTCACCGTTTGGGTGGTTCACAGTCTAGTGTTGCAAAGCTCCCTGATTTGACCTCTGGTGAAGGTAGCTGATGTCAGGACACCATAGTGGAAAATTGTGTAATTATAAAACAGTTACACCATCTCAAACCAGTACAGAGTAAAGGGCAGAGAGTCCTCAAACTCCCACAGTTCTTTACAGTCTTCAAAGGCCTATGTTTCTGATGACCTAAGGCTCTTCCCATCAGTCCCTCTTTGTAATGGTTCCACCTCCCATTAGTATAACCCTGGGGACCAATCTTTAACATGCAGACCTCTGGGGATGTGGTCAACATCCCAAGCACAGCAGTAATTACTGCAGAAAATCAATGTGGCTGTTCTTTTCATGAGCCTGTTATTGAACACACTGTCTTGACAAAGTCAACATTCGATATTACATGGGGATAAAGGGAGGGGGGATGGAAGGATCCAAGAAGGGAGGAAGAAAGCAGGAACCAGTCTAGATTGACTCTGAGTAGAATCTGTCTGCAATGGTGATGGCAAGTCTATCAGGGAATTTTCCATCTCATTAAAATTGAAAACCACCAATTTAGGATTATTTGGCTTACTCATGCCAAATTTATATTCAGCACACATAGCTTCAGCCCTTCATAAGAAATACACTTTATACAAATATATGAGCACTAAATTAATCATAGTCACAATCTCAATATTAAATTCTTAAAAATACAAGTGACCATGATATTGTAATGATATTAATTTTTAAGAACCCTATGAAAGAGGGCTCATATGATCTATAGAATTATTTCTATCAAATTATTAAAAAGTCAGGAGTGGAAAATGTCACAAAATGTACTTTCTCTTCTTTTTATTGAACAGCCACACATGATTTTACAGTGGTAATGAGGGCATGACTGTGCAGTCTGCTAAGTTCTTGAGTTTTTCCCCAATAAATTCTTCTTATACTGCTCATTCCTCTGGCAGAAGACTCTCTCTTGAAAGCTTTCGTGGCTCAGGAGTTAGCAGGCCTGTTTCAGACTGCTAAAAATATTTTCTGAAAAACTGAAAATAAATAGAAAAACAGGTCATAGGAACAGCTTCATTAACTGGCCTTGTTTGCTTTGAGAATTCCTCTATTGCAACTAAACTATCTGTGATGTTTCTTTGTTACCCAGGAAGAAGGTAGTGTGCTGGCTTCAATGTGTCCATCCCCATCCAAGTCAAACAGGCTCACACCCTTTGGACTCATGACTCCTATGAGACCGACAAGGACCAGTCACACCGCCTGGCCTTCCCATTGCTATTTTGTGCTTTGGAGTCATTTAGCTCGTTTTAGGAGCTTCGTGTTCTAGGATAACAATCTCTTATTTTTTTAGTTTAAAAAGTTTAGAAAACTATACATTCTTAATATGATAGATTCAAACTTAGTGTTCTGCCACCTCCCCTTGTGCCCACACATGCCGTGTTGTGTTTTTCTTTGAGTTCGGTGGCTCCTTCTGTCACACTCAGCGTTATCCCATCCGACCCACACAGTGCAATTTCTGCCGTTCTCTGTCCACATAGCTCTTTGTTTCTGTGTGGTGAAAAAATGCCGTGTATTTACTTTTGCTGCTGAGTTGGCTGTGTCTCTCCTCTGTGGCTTCTTTCTATAAGCCCTCTATGAAAACAAGGTCCCTTTTTTCAGGCATCATTTCTTTTCCTTCCAGGATGGGGAGGACGTCATAGTTTTTCCACTACTCTGATGAAGAAACTATTTTTTTAACCCTGATAATTTTTGTTGTATTTTATCCTATCTTTGTTTGTTTCAGGTATCCATGGCATGAGATTCAAGGACAGGACCTACTCCTTGTGGACACTGAAGGATGGATTTCATTGTCTTCTGGCCTCTGCTGTTGGGAAATAGTCCAGTGCCATATGCTTCTCAATTTTTTTGTTGTTGTTGCTGATTTTGTTTTTTTTTTTTTCTTATTAGCTTTCAGATATTTTTAAAATGCATTTTTGTGTCCTGAAGCATCCAGTGATGGATTGCTGGTAAGATCTTGGTTTCTCCTTGTTTGGGTGTGGAATGAACTCTTTCAGTCTACAAGCTTTAGTCCTTCAGTCCTGGGATTCTAGAGTTTTCAATAGCTTCTCTTCCTTTTAAAATTTTCTCCCTGTAATTCTTTGTCAATAAGATGTTGTATGATGTGAATACATTCCTAAATGATCACCTTTCATACACACACACACCTTTATTTACGACTGCCTGTAACCACATATCTGTGTGGGAGAATGCAGTTTAATTTCTTATACATAGATAAGTTCATCAGTCAGAATTGTTGATGTAGCCCTGGAGAAAAATTGAGTCGGTGCTTAAGCATTGACTTTATATATATTACAAATATGTGACTGCAGTTTTATCTGAATATAGACATTTCATAGATACAGCATATAAATATTAGTGTTAACATGTTATGTTGTCAATATAGTCTAGAAACGTAACTCTGGAAGGCCATGGTGGTAAGAAAACAACTTATGTAATACTTCTTAAATATTATGCAAAATTCTTAGATTAAACACAAGCATAAAAGATGAGACGTGCAAAACAATAATAATAAAAATAGAGAAAGGAGAAGTAACAGAGGAAGACTGAAAAATCACCCGGTGTAAAGACTCAATTTTATACTATGAGGAAGATGACTGGGGACCAAAGGCAGGCACAGCTGTATAGCAGGGGCCCTAGAAAATGGGGGACACCAGGACTCTAGACTTGGGAAGCAAACTTACATTTATATTGCATAAATTATTTTAAAAATATAATTTTCATAAAATGTATGCTTTTCCTGAAAAGCATATATTCTTTACTACATATAGGTCAAAGTTATCATTGTATTGCACGAAGAAAGACCAAAGGTCAGCCTTTTAGGAGTGTGGAAACAGAATTGCCTTGAGTTATTTTCTTTTAGTTTTACCAGCATGAGAAACATAAAGATTATGTTGTATCACCACCTTGTGGCCACAATCTGTAACATTTAGCGTGAGGATCTGCAATCCACACTTCACACATCTGTGCACACGTTTGCACACACGCATGTACATCTACACACATATGCACACATGGTTTTAATGATTCCTGATGATTTCATCTCTCTAACTTTCCCAATTTTCTGTAGGATAAGATTTGTGATTTTACCTGTTGTAATTTGAAAAGTAAAATTCCAGCTTGTGCCTTGAAAATCATCTTTCACCTTTCCTATTCATGCGGTGAGGTCCATCAGTTGTGTTTCTGTTGTGATAAAACACCATGACCAAAGGTGACTTAAAGAATTTATTTTGGATTTTTGTTCCTGAGTGCTAGATATCCACAATGCCAGGGAAGTCCGGGCAGCTGGAGAAGGCAGCTCAGAACACATCTCCACCTTGTGCCAGAAGCAGAGAGAGGGAACCGGAAGGGGCCAGGCTATCAACTCGCAAAGCCCGCCTTCAATGAAGTACTTCCTTTAGTGAGGCGCTGGGTCTTAAAAGTTTCATAATCACAACCAACCGGAAACCAAACATCTAGTGCTTGAGTCAACATGGGACATTCTCATCCAAACTGCCACACATCCCTTAAATTCTTTTTTAAAGCTTAATTTTGACCAGTAGAGTTTTGGAGCATCTGAAACTTTCACTTTCTCAAAAGCCAACTCTCTGATAACACAGGAGATTTCTGTTTAGGAAGCATAGGTAATACTAAGTCAGATTTAAAAGTTCAACTCTACAAACATTTACCATCAGCGGTGTCCCACTCATCTCTCACGCATTCCAAGATGATGACAGAAGCAGCATGAGTAGCAGGAAGCACCAGGCAGACGGTGCCTGTCTCACTCAACGACCAGGATTTTAAATAAACATCTAAGAAGCTGTCCCTCTTAGAGAGGTCAGAGACGCAGAGGTGCAGATCAATCTTGATTCCTGAGGATGAATATGTATTTCATCTTTAATCCCCAATGATACCGTTTGAAGCCAACAAGAATGCAGCAGTCTTCACTAATGATCTAGAACTTTAAAGCCACCTTCACAGGGCTATGCATTGCTTTGGGTTGTGCTGGGAATCGAGTAGTCCAGGGGAGGGAAACCAATACTGAACACAATTCTCTTTGCAAGTGTTTGTGCCTGCGTGTTTGTGGGTATGTGTGCTGATGCTTGTGCTTGTGTTTCTGTGTGTGTTGTGTGTGAGGCCAGAAGTTGGCTCCTTGATCTCTGTCCACCATACGTACAGAGGCAGGGTCTCTCACTTGATCCAGAGCTGGCCTACTCAGCTAGTCTGGCTACCTGGCTTGCTCTGAGGATTTTCCCTTCTCACTCCCACCTCTCTCTATTTCTCTCTCTACCTCTGTTTCTCTCTCTCTTTTTCATTAGAAGACACCATCTTAAGCATGTGTCAGGGTCCTCTGGCTTGACAATCTCTCTGTTCCTTTTTTTACATTGTTCCCTGAGTCTTAAGTGTGAGGGTTATGTTACAGATTCACTAACTGGGGATAGCATCCATAATCAAATAACCTCTGTATTTTGACCAGTTGTGTTTCTCCCTTCAGTATGCCAAGTGACTCAGGAGGCTGCTTGCTTTTTGTGGGGCTTGGAACAGGAGATGGCTCTTCAATAGATCCCAGCTCCCGGTCAGGCTGCTCTACCACTTGGACCACACGATCCAACAGACCCTTTAGTACTTGTGGTGGCACTGGCAGACAGGGATGCTGTTTGGAGACTTTGGGAAGTCCTGATCGGTGAATTGCAGAAGAGACCTTTGGGATTTTGGAGCAAGGCTGAACCATCATCTGCAGACAATTATTCTCCCTTTGAGAGACAGTTCTTGGCCTGCTATTGGGCCTTAGTGGAAACTGAACCTTTAACAATGGGCCACCAAATTACCATGTGATCTGAGCTGCCCATCATGAGTTGGATGTTATCAGACTCACCAAATCATAAAGTAGGACATGCATAATGGCAATTTAGTGTCAAATGGAAGTGGTATATATGTGATTGGCCCAAAGACCCAATCAAGCTACATAAAGAAGTTGTGCCTATGGTTTCCATTCCTGTTATGAAGCTCTGCTGAATAGTTCTACATCAACCTGACACAAGCTAGAGTTATTTTAAAGGAAAGAGGGAACCTCAGTTGACAAAAAAATGCCTCCATAAGATCCAGCTGTAAGGCATTTTGTAGGGGAAGCTGTAGCCATGCCTACTTAGGGGCTGACTACAGGTGTGCCTGACCACGCTTGTGAGGGCGTGGTCAGAGTGATGTAGTGTGACTGCGTTTGCGCTTTCGGTTTCACTTTGCTGCTTGCTGGACAGACCACTACCACGCCGGCTGGCTAGGTCGCTCTGTAAGTAAGGCTTTTCCCTGTTAAATACCCTTATATTTCTACCTGACTCCGTATTGGTAATTTCCCACTTTACCTGGTGTCAGAAGTGGGATATTGGAAACCTACACCCCATTTGAGACAGGCTGTGGGTTCCATCGGGCCCTCGGCCTAGACCCAGAAAGCGCCCTCTCTCCACAGGTGCTCCCGGCTAGCAGCAGACCTGCTGCGGCTGAGCTGCTCAGAACCATCCACCCAGCTCAGAGACAGTTTCTAGCTGCCTAGAGTCGAGGTAGGCCTCGGCTTTCAGCAGAGGCTTCCCCTGGCTGCTGCTGCGGTAAAGCTGCATCTGTTTCAATGGTTGCGGCCGCAAGACCATATACTCTCTAAGATAAGCGCAGCCGCTTTTGTGACCTCTCTCCACCGCTGCCCGACTGCTGCCAAACACCTTGGAATAACTGAACGCCTGTGCTACCTGCTGGTCAAATATATTTACTGCATCTGGAATAGAAATCAGGTAAAATTATGGCGGAATATTTATCATTTGCTAAAATTGGTAATACTTTTGCTTATTACGTAAATTCACTGTTTGAGGAGGATGCTAATGTTCCAATTACTGGCCTATATGCCATAATGGCAGTTAGCTTGCTGGTACAAATAGTATTACTAGCCAGAGGACACAGGAATAGGGATAAGGATAACCTCACCACCT